AAAAAAAAAAAAAAAAAAAAAAAAAAAAAAAAAAATAAAAAACAAAAAAAAAAAAAAAAAAAAAAAAAAAAAAAAAAGAAAACCAAAAAAAAAAAAAAAAGATGAAAAGAAAAAATTAAAGTGAAAAATGAAGAGAAAGCCAAAAGAAGAGAGAAAATAGAGAAAAATGAAAGCCAAAAAAAAAAAAAAGAATAAGATAAAAAGAAGACAAAAAAAAAATAAATAAAGGTAAGAAAAAGAACGAAATAATAAAAAAAAAAACAAGAAAACAAAAATAAATAAGAAAAGAAAAAAAATAGAGACATGAAAACAAAAAAAAATAAAATATATATGATTTCCAATTTAAAAAATTATTGGTCGATTATATAAGGGTCACAGTGTGACAGGTTGTCAATTTATTTTTGATATATTTAAATACTTGATTAATTTAGAATATTAATTAATTATTAATTTCTAATAGTGCTTCTAGGTCTGAACTGGTTTTAAACTGAACTTAAACTTTAAATTTACTAATTTCAAACTTCAAACTAAACCCAAACTTATAATATCAAATTTAAAACAAACTTAAACTAAATTCAATTTAAAGTTTACAAACATGTTTGAGTCTAAATAATATAAAATACTGTATTAAACAATTTAACTATTCAATTGTAATCAAAGTATATAATTTTACAAATATGAATATCTGTGAAATTATTAGACTTCATATCTATAAAATTATATAATATATCTCATACTAGTAAAAAATAAAAAATTTAATATATCAGAGTATATAATTTTGTAGATATAAATATCTGTAAAGTCATTAGACTTCATATCTATGAAATTATATAATACATCTTATATTAGTAAAAAAAAATTTAATATGTTAGAATATATAATTTTATAAATATAAATGTCTGTAAAATCATATGACTTCATATTCATGAAATTATATATTATATGCCACTGACTATAGTACCCAGTGTGACTAGAGTTGGGCATGGCAAATTTTTGGAGCATGCCCCTGGGCATGTCTTTGCAAAGGACATACTTCTTTGTGCCCTGGGGCATGCCCCTCTATATATATTAATTCTAAAATAGTAATTTATATATAAATTACTAAGTTTTCTGAAATTATCTGATGACTATACTTGTGTTTTGTGTTCATTAACTTTTTTTAAAATAATTTAAATTCTCTATTAGAGTTAATACCTAGATTCAGATCCTAATTATAAGATCCAGATCTTAATAATAGGATCCAGATCTTAATTATAAGATTCAGATCTTAATAATAGGATCCAGATCTTTATAATAAGATCCAGATCTTAATAATAAGATCCAGATCTTAATAATAAGAATTAATTATATAGTTTCATATGCCGATGCCACTTATTTCAAATTTGCCTTCATCGTTTTCATCAAATGTAATGTTAGAAGAGTTTTTTTTTACAAAGATATTATTAGGACTTTGTTTTAGTAGTGATTCTATTTTCATAAATTTTAAAAGGTCAACTTCTGTCTATCTCAATACTCCAACACAACCCAATTTTTTGAATATTCTAGCAATTTGTTTCTAGATCTATAAGTGATCAGGCTTTAGAGTAAGTATTTTTCCTGTACTAAACTATTTTATTTAATTGTCGTCATACTATATTTATACTCTATTTTATATAAGTTTGTCTAGATTCTCACTAATTTTTTTTAAATGTATGTCCTCTTGATACATATCATGTTAGTTTTGATAATTTTTCTTCTCTAATCACTTTACATCACTTATTTTATCTGAAATTGGATAAGTTATTAATTCTAAACACAATACTTGATATATCTCAAGCAATGCTACTCTTTATTTTATTGAAGCATTGTGATTTTTTATTTTATACTCAATGGAATTAAAAATTTACTGGTTAAAAATTAATTACAATTGATTTATGCTAATATTAATATATTTTATTAAAGGTTGTTAATATGGCTACAACCAGATCTCTTAAACACAATTCTGATCAAGGAGGGTCCAAAATATGTACATAGAGACTCAAGGAGAGAAGTATGATGTTCTTTCCAAATAATTAGTCACAAGGTTAGGCTTTTCTAAATATGATGCAAGGGCCAAAAGAAAGATACTTAAAATATATACTTAAAAAAAAAGAAGTATAACTTGTCAAATAATTAGTTTGTATAGTCAAAAATCTCCTAAGTGCAATGTGAAGGGGATAGTAAGTTAAATAGTCAAAGCGTATTTAAGAGGAGTATAACTTTCTTGTTGCAATATCAATATATTTATAAGATAATCAAAACATATTAAAAAAATTAAAAAATTTGTATAATTAAACCTTCTAGTCTAATAAAAAAAAATTGGTAAGTTGTACTAAGAGGAGTATGACTATACATTGAATTTCTTGTAAAATAATTAGTTAATACGATTAAATTTTTTAAGTGCGTTAACGAGGAGTTTGCATTTAGAGAAGTAAAGTTATGAATTCTTTATTAAATAATTTTTTTAAAAAGATGTATATTGTTTAAATAATAAAATTTCTTTATAAATAATCAATCTTTTCAGTTTCTATTTTATTAAAAATTTCGCTCTAAAGTTTTATCCAAAAAAAATTCAACATACAATTTCGATATAAAATCTTTTATTTTAATTGATGATCCATGAGTCATGTGAAGAACGATTTTAGTGTAACGTGACAGAGATCACATATAAAAATTACTATAGGCAGAAATGCAGTGTGCGGCTAAGGAAAACCTTTTTTTACTAAGTTAATCACCCTTCTCTATTAAACGAAAGTTGTAGAGCTCGTTAAGACGCATCTAACGATGGTTAGATCATCCAAATCGGCTTAGTGAATGCTGAGATATCTTCAAAAAATGTTTTGCCGACTATATAAAATTCTATGTAAACAATAGTATTGTTTACATAGAATTTTATATAGTCAGTGAACCATTTTTCGAAGATATCTCAGCATTCACTAGGCCGATTTGGATGATCTAACTGTCGTTAGATGCGTCTTAACGAGCTCTACAACTTTCGTTTAATAGAAAAGGGCGATTAATTTAGTAAGAAAAAAAAGTTTTCCTTAGACGCACGCTGCATTTCTGCCTATAGTAATTTTTATATGTGATCTCTGTCACGTTACACTAAGATCATTCTTCACATGACTCACGGATCATCAATTAAAAATTTTGCCCAAAATTTTGTTTTAAAAAATGAATAAACAAATAAATAATCCCAGAAAAAAAAGAAAGATTTTTAATAAAACAAAAGCCCAATCGACATTATCTGTAGCATCTAGTAACTTATCAAACTCAAGAGCAAATGCTACTTTTATATGGTTTTTTTATAAAGATGATCAAACTAATAGTATAGTCACGTATTGCAAGATTTGTATTCAGGAATTAGACGAATTAGATGAAATTAATGCAGAATCATATCTATACATTAAATCAGGAAGCAATACGGGAAACTTAGTAAAATATTTATGCGAAAAGCATAACATAACTTCAAAAAACTATAATAGATATCTTGATGATAATGAAGAAGTAAAAATTCATATATATATTTTTTTTAATTAATTTTGAATAAATTACTTTTTGCTCAAATTTTTTTTTTTAAGCTAATAGCAATAATTAACCGATCTGTTGATTTAGCAGACCCTAACTTACCTTCCCTTTCACTCACACAACAACATGAATTAACAAAACTTGTAGTTAAGTTTATTGTATGATGTCCAACCTTTAAATATATTAAAAAATCTATCATTTCGTAAGCTTCTAAATGAGTTTAAACCGCAATACCAAATACTATATATGAAAACCATTAAAAAATATATTTCTGAAACCTATATATGGGGAACAAAACAGCTTAAAGAGTTGTTATTAAATGTTAATACAGTTAATCTAACAACAGACTTATGGACTACAAAAAGCAATCATAGCTATCTTGGCATTACTATAACATGATTAACTTCTAATTTTAAACTTCAAGAAATATTACTCTCAAATCTCTATATGCCGTATCCACATACAGGTCAAGATATTAATGAGGAGTTATTTAGCATTATAAATAAGTGGGAATTAGTAAATAAAGTACATAATATTGTAACAGATAATGGGCCGAATATGATAAAAGGTGTTAGATTATTAAAAAAAAACCACCTTCCTGATATTAACTGGCAGTTATACGTTGCTTATATCCTTCAGCTTTTAGTAAAAGAAAGATTAAAACAAATTAAGCCACTTCATAAACGATTTCAAAGCATTCAAACATTCTTTAAGCTTCCAAAACAAGCACAATATCTGCGAGATGTGCAAATGCAAATGCAAATGCAAATAGATTTGTCTGATATAATTCAAAGTGATGCTGAAGATAAAATAGTAAATTCACTTGAAGTCCTAAGTGATTGTAAAACCTGTTAGAATTTGACCTATTTAGCATAGAAAAGAATTTTAACATTGCATTCAGCAATGTTATCACTTGCAACCTCATTAAGAAATAAGTCAGATACTGCTTCAAAACGAGAAAGCAAAAAACTTCTAAAATTGTGTCTTACTACAGAAGAACAAGAGTACATATCAGTATTTATACTTAATCAAATACTTAGTGTAATAACCAAATTTATATACATGCGATATATAACATATATTTTAATTAGTTAATATAAAAAATTATATAGACATATATTTTTATTTATTTTTTTAAAAAAAAGGGTTACAGGGCAAATAGTTAATCTTTTAAAGCCATTTGAAGAGATTACAAGACACATTTGTAGATCAAAGTATCCTACTTTGAATCTTATATACCCCTATATTTGAACTTTAAAAAATAAATTTGTGTCTAAAAGTAAAAATAGTAAATCATATAAAGCTTGGATTACTCTAATTTATGGCTCAGAAGATTCGGATACTAGCAATAATTCAAGTCTTAGTAGTGATAACGAAGCTGATATACTATTAGCAAGAAATCGTCAACAATGGCAGTATGCACATCGAAGTGTGCATCATAATAAAAGTCATGCAAGTTATAAAAAAAGTAAAAATAAAAAAAAAAGTAAAAAAAATAACACTTACAGAATTAGAAGATTCTAATTCTGTAGAATACATATCACCTGTAAATTGTTTTGGGCTCTTAGAAAGAGCCCGAGCTGCTATTTTTTTGTCTATTAATGAATTATGGAATTCATCTAATATAATAGGTTTAAAGGCTTCTATTTTAGACCCCCAAGCATTAAAATTACTTCCATTTGCTACAACTCAAAAATGGAAAGGGACTGAAGCCCAAGTTCGTGCTGAATTATTGTTATTTGAAAATCAAATGAATATTTTAAGTAGTGCTGAAATAGAAAAAAGTATAGTAACTATTAGTAAAGATCCTCAAGATTCTCTAAGTGCCGAATTATAGGGATTATTGTCAATATCTGGGCTAGGTGCTAAGAAAAGGGACCAAATTGACAAAATAAAAGATCTTCAGAAAATCAATTTTTGTTTTGTAAATCTTATAATAGATTATAAGAAAAATGAAACTTTAAAGAGCTGTACTGCAAAATTTTATTAATGTAGCTACTTTTGTGTTTTAGATAAAAAATGATCCTAATATTATTTTAAATTGATTTATATAAAAAAATTACTTTTGAAAAAATTGTCAATTTGGTCCCTTTTCCCAGCTCCTAGCTCATCTGATAATAAAGATGAATTCACCTGATATATGAAAGAACTAATAGTTAATAAAAATCATAATCCTTTAATATGATGGGAAAATAGACGTAAAAACTTTCCATTCCTTAGTCAACTTGCTTGTAAATATCTGTCTATACCTGCTATATCAGTTTTATCAGAACGTCTATTTTCTGATGCAAATACTCAGATTTTTGCTAGAAGAACTTGTTTTAATCCTAATTTGGTAAATAAGATGTTGTTTTTAAAAAAAAATACATATTACCACACCATGTTTCCATCTGATAATATATAATTTCATCACTTATCTGCTTTCTTTTTTAACCTGAAGACTTGTTTTTAATTCACAAATGCATATTCATTAACCTATTCTAAATAAAATTTATTTAGCAATATTATTATTATTATTATTATATATACGATCTAATATTAATAAAAGAATACTGTTCAAATTAACATTTCTAAGAACAGATAAAGAAAGATCAGATATTAATAAATTATGAAACATACAAGTTTATTTCTAATTTAAAGAAAAATATATAAATAAATAAAAAATTAATATACTATACAACAAACATACCCACATTTTTAGATCCGGATGTTAAATTATTACTTCTAGGCCTTATTACCTTAAGATAAAGGTTTCAATGTTTACTTGTGTGAATCATGCTGAAGACAATCTATAACTAGCAAAAGACTTGAGTATTTAGGAATTTCCACTTTACATTGGCAGAAGATATTGAATTGTATGTGTGTATGCACGTATGTACTACATTTTTGTTTATTGGGCAGAAGGTACGTACTGTACATTTTTGTCTCTTGGAAGAAGTAAAATCAATTAACCAATCGGATACTACTATATTTATAGATCTGAATCTTAATAATAGGATCCAGATCTTATTATTAAGATCCGGATCTTATTATAAAGATTCAGATCTTATTATTAAGATCCGGATCTTATGATTAGGATCTGAATCCTATTATTAAGATCTGAATCTTATAATTAGGATTCGGATCCAGGTATTAACTCTATTCTCTATAATATATTATCTTGCTCTTTTTTTTGAATCTGAGTCTATATATTGTTTAGCTAATTCAATATAATATTCTAAAGTCTCAGATATGAATTCTGATTACAAACCAAAGCAAATTTTTGCTTAACACAATTAAACCAATTTTAACTAATAATATAGTTTGAATTCTCTATAAGGTTATACAAATTTAATATCTTAATCTTATAGCATAAAGCTTTTAAACAAACCTGGCTAGCCAGGTTATAAAACTAATTAATTAAGTTTGTATAATCTAATATTATCTTGTTCTTTTTTCTAGATCTGAGTTTATATATTGTTTAGCTAGTTCGATATAATATTTTCAAATCTTAGTCACAATCCAAAACACAACTTTAATTAGCACAATTAACTCAATTTTAATTAATAATATAGTTTAAATTCTTTATAATAAATTATTTTGCCTTTTTTTTAAATTTGAGTCTATATATTGTTTAGCTAATTTAATATAATATTCTGAAGTATCAGATGCAAATTTCAGTTACAATCCAAAATATATCTTTGCTTAGTTAATTAAACCAATTTTAGAGTAATTTTTTAAAATCTTACTTTTTATATTATGTTAGAATTTAAAGTCAGTACTGTTAATAAAAAATATACTAATATATAAATTTTAGTAGATGTATATTATTAATTTAAATAAGAATCCTAAATTTAGTATAGCTAGTTCTACTAAGACTAATTATTTATTTTATACTCTAATTTGTAGGCAGAATGATTTGATTTAGGTATTGAATATTTTAAGTCTATTATAGCCATTACAGGTCTATAGCTAAGTACTCTTGTTCTTAATTTAAACTTCCTTTTCTATTATTTCATTTCTCTAATACTCTAATTTATTAGTATAATGTGCTGGAGTTTTACAAATTTATAATTGTTAAGTGATTATAAATCACAATATAAGTTATGTATAACAATGTAATGACTACAAATTTATTTAATATTAATATAAAGCAATTTGATTTGCTAATTAATTCTTTATTTTCAAAACTATAATAAATCATAAAGGCAAATAAAATGCAAAACTAATTAAAAAATAAAGGATTCAAGAAACTACTACTGATATAATTCTGTAATTATGAACTTAAAGGTGAATTATTCTTTATTTATAATGAAATTTTGGCATATAAATATATTTTTCCATTTTATTAATTTATATTTTTTTTTTATAGC